TTTGTAGAATAGCCTTCAACTAGAAAGGCATTTCTTAAATGTTTGTGGATACAACATAAAACATATTAAAATAGTAAGTAGCTTGATTGTTTTTAACTTTGAGAATGATAACAGAGATACTAGATTGATTCTAAAGAATCATTAAAAAAAATATATAAATATTTTAAATATTCATACCTATATTTCACCATATTTTTGAACAAATAAATGTAGCCTTGACGAGCATAAGAGGTTTCTTTTAAAAAATCTAAGCAACTCCTCATTTTCAAATATTGTTTTTTGTTACAGCAAATTACAGCTTGCAGGAATGTGTTTTAATTTGATAAAAACTCTCAATATGGCACTTAAAGGAAAGATGACACTTATTCTCATGCTGGAGCTCATATTAAGCTCAATTTAGTCAACACTGGACTTCATTTGAATAAAGAATTTGGTAGAACGAAACAATTTGTCCTTTAAAAAACAAATATTTTATAAGAATTATTGTGCATTGCGTACTGAATTACTTAAATCAATAAAAAAATTATGTGCTTATATGATTATATGCTTTTAAAATATGTAGATATGACTGCAGAATTAAGAAACAGGCGTTCCATTTGAGTCCTGCAATACTGAAAAATAAGAAATATTTTAACAGCTTTTGTTAAAAATAAAATATGTATAATATATTTGTATGTAACTTGATAATTATGTACCCCCTCTTTTTTTTCTTTTTTTTATGATTATAATCTTTTAAATTGATTTTCTCATTTAATACTTTTTGTTAAGGAATGTGAAGTGATTTTGTTGTATAATAAAACTTTACATGCTGGTTCTTTTTAATAAAAAAAAAAAGAAGAAATATACAATTTCTGTCACGGAAGGACGCTAACAACGAAGTTGAGGATCCATACGCAGCTTATTAAGAGTAGTCAGGCAGACAACGGTCAAACAGGTAGCAAACAGTAGCATAAGGGTAATCCAGAAACAGAGTGAAAAACATGCAAATGGTCGGTACATGCACCAAAAAGAATAAAACAAGGCAAAGGGTCAGCTAAAAGACAAGACAAGAAGATGCCTCTTACAGTGAGTTACAGGATAACAAGACTTAGCAATATGTGTTGCAAAGAGAGGTGTCTTTATAGTACAGTTATTGATTAATGATGATGAGCTTCAGCTGTGTGTCTGTGTGTGTATCATCATCTGTGATCTGGAACAGGTGTGTGTGAGGTGCATGACGGGAGTTGTAGTTCATATCATATAGTGGTACATACAATACACACAGTACAGTTGCACATACAATATATATTTTTTACTCTTAAGTACTCTGCATCTCCATCCACATTCTATTGAATGGTTGCAAATATATTTTCCAGACCATGAAATTTATTTTTAAATATATTTTGGTTCATGAGGATTGAAAATAGATACATTTTCTATTTCAGAAATCTATTTTATTGAATTTTATTTATAATATATTCAAATGCATTTTAGCCAGAAAAAAGAGGGATTTATTACCATATGAGATGAATCACTGTGCAAGCCTAAAATAGCTCTTGGCTCGTACACAAGCTCCATAAACCATTGCTTTCGTCTCACACTCTTCTGACCTTTAGCGCCTCTGTTGTCTTCAGAGGGAGGGACAAACTCAGGGCAAAACCCTTCTCAGCCAATCCCTCCAGCAAAGCCCTAAGGCTGGTCCAGTCCACACGCGTCCTGCCACACTCCAATAGCAACCTGTCAGTCTCCCTGCCGAGGGCCTGAGTCTTTCTGACCCTTTTTCATGGCGATGCTTCTCCGCTGGGCTTTGCTGTCAGAGATTCAGTGTGTGAGGCAGTGAGGAAAGATAAAGGAGACACACAGACACAAGTCAAACCCCTTCACTCACACTCAAACCCAGCCATCCTGCTAACATGAATAAAAGATTCAAGAGACTTTCCACCTCGTTCTGGCTTTTATACCTCAACCGATCGACCAGAGGAAGGCATTGTTCATGTGTGTTCTCGACTCATCATGTGTTTTATATCGGTTAATGCACTGAGAAATCATTTAGCATTTTGACTACAGCAAGTGCTGGAATTGAAACTGTTTGGGAAAGGGAAATAGTGAGACACACTGCAGAGAGAATCTTTTTTTTTTCATCTGTGTTGTGTTGATTAAAGTAATTACTGCCAACCTAATCAGCAAGATAGCTGGGGTGTTTTTAAAGCTTCGTTCGCGCTAGAATGTGACAGCGAATGAAAATACAAACAGAAAGCCTTCAATGTAAATTATTATTATCAAGATGGCAATATTTACAGTAATTATTAGACCTAATGCAATTATACATTAAACAATATATATATATATTATAAGAACTACTTATATAAAATAAGCTGAATCAAAAAAAATATCTTGAGTTTTTTTGGGACAGTCTCATTGTTTTATGTTCAATAAACTTAAATGTGTAAAAACAATTAAGTTGACTTGAAAACATGAAGGAATTGTGTGAAAGACAGCATTTGTTACAGTGTTTGCACACTGGTTTGGATAAAATCATATTAAAATGCAAATGAAAATACTTTTGGATAACTGAGATAAGCTATGTGTTTTTTTGTAAATGTTGTTTGCTCACTTGCATGTATGGATGTGTGATGTTCTGTATTATTTTGTTACATTAGTTAAAGGCTGTAACAGCTAATATAAATGTGTATATATAATAAAGTTAATCAAAAATTCTCTTCATCATTGATTGATTGTGTGCACAGTGCACAATTCTATAGCCAAAGCATTTCTATAGACAATTGAACAAAAATGCATATGACATTAGGCATGGGACGATGACTGGTTTAAGGGTTTACGTGGTTTAGAAAAGTAAAGGTTTTAAAACCGTCAAAATTTTCTGCCATATCGTACCTGAGGTATATGTACTTTTTGTGTAGATTTAGTTTTTTAGGGCAACAGTATCTCCAGCAGAAAAGGGCCCTCCACATAAAAAGTTACTGATCAGTTCACGGTTTAAGAAACATCTCAAAGAACAAATCAATTATAAGCCAACATCCAATCATGCTATAGAGCTGAACAGTGCAGTGGCTTACTTTATATCCAAAAAAAAGAAAGATCTCCAAAGATGCCTTTTCATAACTTGTGAGCCAGCAGAAGTCAATTATGTATTTTTATTATTTAGCCTGATGTGTTTAGTGTTCCAATTTTATTTTTAAATGTTTCTTAAAATAAAATATATTGTGTTCAGTAGGGTGGAATGTTGTTGCTTTTTACCCAGACATTTATAATGAATATATTTTAGAACAGTAATCAGAATATTGTGAAACCGTGATATTTTTTTGTTGCAAGGTTATCATACCGTCAAAATCTTATACCGGCCCATTCCTATGTGACATATGTTAGGGATTTATATAGACAAACTTAAACAAAGGACACAGTGAGCTGCAGGAAAAGTGAAATAACTGCAATAATTCTGATTAAATTGATTTTCTTTTTAGAAATTAATTGTAAATTTTAAATTAAATTACTCATCTTCATCATAACCTGTAGGCATCATCAGTGATTATTCTAATCCAGTTGAATGGTTAGATTGTGTTATGCAGTTACAGGTTGTAAAATTGCAAACTAGTTATAGGTAATGTTTCAGTATATCAGGATTCACTTTCTGCATTGCTTTGCATTGCTGTTTGATGTGTAAATGTTTAAGCTCGTGACTGGATCCTCACAGGCCAAGAGCTTCTGTCAGCTCTTTCCATAAAGCGAGATCCCTGCTGTCGGATGAAGAAAGTAACTTGGCATAATGTGTGTTCATCAGTTCTTCTGCAGTCAATCCTAAACCTCAGATTTAAAAAAATAATAACAAGCGAGTGGCTACAGTTTGATTTATCTGTCAAATGCATATACTGTTAGTACATAACACCCACATCATACATCTGAGTGCAGTAAGTCTGAAGAACTAGACATACATTGTTGTTGTTACATCTTTTCTTTTTGATTACTTTATTTTTATTAAGAACCTTTTAAAAAATGACAAAAATATACAATTTTACAGTATTCAGTATTTAATATGAAATATTAAATAAATACTATAATAATAATAATAATAATAATAATAATAATAATAATAATTATTATTATTATTATTATTATTATTATTATTATTATTATTATTATTATTATTATTATTATTATTATTATTATAAGTTAATAAAAGACACAACATTGGGTGGTTACATTGTTGCAGATTCAATGCATTCAACAGCTGTTAACAATGCCGTAATCAATCCATTTCTTCCAATCTTTTTGAAATAAGTCCTATTTAATTCTTAAAATAAATGTCGATTCTTCCATCGCTTATTTTTTTCACAATTCCTATCCAATCACCAACAGAGGGGGTGTCATGCTTATACCACTATCTGGTAATACTCTTTTTGCTTGCCACACTTTATATATTTACAAGGTAAACATCCTCCTTCACTACCATCTCTTCATAGGTTGCAGGATAATTTGTAATAAAGTCTTTTGGTATCCTAAAATCTTTTCTGTTCCAACAAAACCTCTTTCCAAATGGTAATATTCACATGTCCAGAAAATATGGAGATGGTCTACATCAACCTTCCCACATATCCTTCAGCAGGTTTGAGGTGTGGACAATTATTTGCTTTTAATTTTGGGAGTAATGAAAAAATACATAATAGATTTTTTCATGCACATGCTTTCCACCTTTGCAGACAGGTTGTATCTTATGTTGTATCTTACAGGCAGAAAGCCATTTTTCAAGATTTTTTCAGACTTTTTTTTTTTTTCACTGTATCTCTTTCACACTGAAAAGACTTTACAAATAGAATGCTAAGTGAATATACTGTATGGGATCCTACAGAAGAGAGATGGATTGAGTGTTCTGAATGAGCTTGAACTTCTCCATTTCAGTCACCTTTTCAATGTAATATTTGAACAGTGCGTTTTTAGTAGTGAACAATGTAAAATTTGTTATACTTATATGCTATATGTATTGATACTTATTTTCTTCTTCACAGGTCATCCTCATTCTTACCAAATATTACCATGCAGACTCCAACAAAGTTCTGGAGAGTTCCTTGTGGAGGTAAGTGACAGAAGATTTTTTTTTTCAGCTCAGATTTTGGTTAAAACATTTAAAGCCTACAGACTCTCACATAAAAGCAATTTTTTTAATGATGGGTTGGGGGAAAATTCCCTTGTGGCGGATTGAGATGACAACAGTCAATTTGTAATTCAAATGATTTTCCCTAGAGATTCCCCAGTGGAATTTTTCAAGCTTTTCTATTGATTTATTTCATGCCAATTGTAAAGATTTCTTGTGGAAAGTATTAAATGCGATAGCTTTAGTCAGATTAAGTTAAGCTTTGCTATTCAACCATGTGTGTGCAGTTTGAGGGGGAATAAAATATGTTTTTTTACTTTTAAGTATTGTGCTGCTAAAAGAAAAGCAAATGAAGTATTGAATTGTATTATTATTTTAATAACCAGAATATGCACATTACATTGTTAAACCTACTTTACAATATACACAGTTTGCTTGCTTGAATTGTTAACCTCGGATTCTTTGTGCAAATGTCATTACATGTCTTCAAACATATCCATTTATTATCCTCAAATGTTTAATATATGAAAAGTTATCTTTGGCTAAGATTATAAAATACTAAAATAGCTATAGGAATATCATACTCCAAAGGATCTGTTACATGATATATTAATTTTAAAATGCTCATAGTTACATTATTTTTTAAAAAGATTTATTTATTAGATTTTTATAACAGTTAACAAACAAAAGCAACAGAGAAAGTAACAGTACAAATAGAAAAACAAAAAAAACAAAAAAACATTACAAACAGTTGAGGAGACTTTCACTGCAACAAAATCACCGCCTAGCTAATATTGACAGAAAAGCTTTTAATTCAGAAAGATAAAATGATAAATCACAGTAAGGGGGTAGAACTCCAAACAGGCCAATTTACAGAAAAGGATAAATTTTAACAGATGTCATTTCTTAAATGAATCAAAAACAGACTCCCAAAAACAAAACAAAGCAGGACCGGTCCAGAACGTGTGAACTAGAATTGCAGATTCAGCTGGACATTTGTCATAGATGGATCAATAGCAGGTAACATGCGAGCCAGTTTACACTTGGACCAGTGAACTCTTTGGACTACTTTGCACTGTAGAATCCCATGATGAGCACATACAGATGATGTATGGACCTTTTGTAAAATAGTTGACCACATATCTTCTTCTATGTCTATGTTGAGATCCCTAGTCCAAATTAAATGCAAACTTTCAGAGGTAGAGGGATAAGACGTGAGCAAGGAGTTGTAAATCTTAGAGATTCCATTTTGACCACGTTGATGCTAGAGATGGTTAGATCAGGGTAGTAGGGTGGTAAATTAGGGAATCCTAGAAAGTGCTTACGGACAAAATCCCGAATCTGAAAATATTAAAAGTTGTGACTTTGGTAGAGTAAACACTCAAGTTAGTTGTTCAAATGTTGCAAAAAAAAAATGATCATGTAGAGACATTTTATAGAAACAATTCCACATCTCACCCATGTTACAAAATCATAGTTACATTTAAATGTTAAATTGTTTGTATTTTGTTGGTCGTTTTTTCCACTTGAGTGAATGTTGCCATGTATAGCTGAAAAGCCTGAAAATGTGAACAGCATGATGATAAAAATGCCAATTTTTCTCTTTATTACCACTCCTGTTTAAACTATAGGAACAAGAGAATTGCCCATTGCATAAAGGGCTGTATATTATGCTTTTGTAAGCATGGTTTATTACAAAGACTATAGAACATACAAGTCACTTTTTTTAATGGGGAAAAGTGTAACGGTCAATATGCTAAATAAAGCACCACCTACTAGTACAGGAACCAATCATCGATCGCTACATGACGAATAAAGCCCACCTCCTAGTACAGGAACCAATCATTGGTTGCTCTTTGGCAAATAAAGCCCACCCTCTTGTACAAGAGCCAATCATCTATAGTCTGACAATAATCCGAGGTAGGGGCTCGGACCACACATGAGTTTTTGCAGATTTTCTGTGGTTTGGATGTTTAAAATGAAACTAAAGAGACAGTTGTTGTTTAATTTTATTGGTGATTCCTAATATTAAATTTAATGGTAAGCTTGGCAAGCAGTTTTGGAAAATTTGATGTTTTCCCATTCAGACAGAATGCCTGAGCATACTGCCCGAGAGGCGTTTCAAAGATGCCCACTGAGTGAAATGACTTGCTTAAAGGGACTTTGTTTATTAACAAGACTACTAATAATTAGGTGTTACTGTTTAAATGATTACATATCAGATGAAATCATTGAACACATACGATATTTATGATTGATTTGAAACCAATACACACATGAAAAATGACCAATCAGTGAGTGAAAAAGGCAGAAGAAGCCAAAGTACAGCTTTCGACTTGTATAAGAAACAGCTCAGCAGAGAGAAAAAGAGATGCCAGTGAGTGCTGGAGGTCTGATGGCCCGATGGCCTTTACCACAGTTGTCCAGGAAGACAGAGCTCAGGTAAAGAGGAACAGCAGAAGGCGAGAGCAGATGCCAGTGAAAAGAGAGTGAATGTAGGTGACAGAGGTCTTTCATCCTTTCTTTGACCACTAAACCACAGTTCACAACATTCAAACTGAATCAGCAGACCGCAGCTGACCCTCATTGTAAAACATTTCACCCAACAGGCTTTTACTGTCAGCGCCTCTATGAGCATAACCCCCTCCACCCGCCCGAAGGGTCCCTTCTGGAATCCCTAAGACATAAACAAGCTCCTTTGTTCATTTTAAACCATGCAATTTTGCAATCTAAGAAGCAGAAGTTCATGTAGAGAGCGTAGCGAGTACATCATTTGGAAATTACCATTGTTTATGCCTGGATCTGTCTCTGGTGTTGCTTTCTGGAGTCCTCCAGGCTGTGATAAACGAGTCCAGTGCCTTTGCAGTGAACTTAGCGATGACTTAATTAGGACTGCTAAGGGCTTTACTAGACCGTGAGTTAATTGCCTCACACCATCCACTTATTAGCAACTAACCCTGACCGTGTAATGACCGCCAGCCAGGTCTTTGTTTGTTTTGCTCTGTTTGAAGGGCTTTGCAAACCTATGCGAAGTTAGGCTTAATCACCAACCTACTGTGAAGCAAGCGTTTTTGTTGCAGTTTTTATAGCGAGGTTTAAAGATTGAGGCCACTGGAGTGTGAAAAGAAGATGGAGCTAAAAATAAAGTGCTGCATATGGAATAATTGATGGCATGTTTGTTCCAATGCTCTCATTAGCCTGTCTGTCTGAGGTTGATACGAGGGGGCGAATTAATTTTACATCGGGTCTCAGAATATATCGGTTGCACAGCTGCCTAATGACCAGGTGGAATGATAAACACTGTCTTTTTCCCAGCTAGAGCTTCAGCATTTAGCGCGCCCCATGTTGCATGCGGGCAAACATGGTGGAAATGTGCACTGGAGGAGGTGTGTTTTGAAAGAAAGGGCACAAGACTGTACTTGACATGTGTTTGGGCAGGTAGGGTTCCTCTGTGGCCATCTGGAGATTTCTTTATGGCAGGAAGGCTAAATTATAGTGCACCGCTTCCTCCTTTAGTCATCTCTTGGTGGTACTTCAAACGTCTTCTAGCATGTGCCTTCATTTATTTGAGTCTTAAACATGTCATATTAGTAGCGACTGCTGTATCTGTCTTGAAAAAGGTGCAGAGTTGCCGTACGTTAACACATGGTGCTTGTCCTGAACAGTTGGCGAAAACGGCCGCTTCACTGTCACGCCTCTCATGCAAGAAAATGTTTCAGCAATGCAGATGGCACTCCTGAAAAAAAAATCAATGTTCTAGAATAAATGAATCGAATTAGTAAAATTTTCTCTTACTTTATTCATGATATTCATAGAGCCGCCGAATCCCAGACTTCAAAGACTGGTCCATCATTAAGCAGACAGCCAGTCTTTCTCTACATGTCATTCGATGAATTATGGAGAGTCTACCGTGTTGATGTTTTAATTGTTGTTGTTCAGCTCATAAATTATGTACTGAGGTTATGATGGAGCGGTCTGAATTCAAGGACATAAGGAGCTGATAAATTGGATTAAACCAGAGACCAAAGTTCAGCTCAGGTCACGCTGCTTTTTCGTCTTTGGTTTAAAGCTGAGCATTATCTGCATCATGGTAGAAAAGTTTGTTAACCTGTTAGCCAGCACTCACTTTTGAGCATTTACACCTACCTAATTGAAACAGTAACAGTTCTTACAGCCTTATTCCAAAATGGATTCAATTAATTTATTTCAAAATAAATTAATTTATTTCAAAATAAATTTATTTATTTCATCTCAAAATTTCACACACAATACACCATAATGACAATGTAATTTTTTTTAATTGTTGCAAATTTATTAAAAATAAAAAACCAGAAAAATCACATGTACATAAGTATTCAAAGCCTGTGCTCAATACTTTGTTGATGCATATTTGGCAGTATGATGCCACAAGCTTGGCACAGCTCTCTTTGGGAATGTTTGCCCATTCCTGTTTGCAGTACCTCTCAAGCTATATCAGGTTGGATGGGAAGCGACGGTGTACAGCTACTTTCAGATCCCTCCAGATATGTTCAATAGGATTTAGGTCTGGGCTCTGGCTGAGCCACTCTAGGACATTCACAGAGTAGTTGTGAGGCCTCTACATTGAGATTTTGGCAGTGTGCTTTGGTTCATTGTCCTGCTGGAAGATGAACCGTCGCCCCAATCTGAGGTCAAGAGCACTCTGAAGCAGGTTTTCATTCAGGATGTCTCTCTCTGTACATTGCTGCATTCATCTTTCCCCCTATCCCGACTTGTCTTCCAGTTCCTGCTGCTGAAAAGCATCTCCACAACATGATGTTGCCACCACCATGCTTCACTGTAGGGATGGTATTAGCCTGGTGATGAGTGGTACCTGGTTTTCTCCATACGTAACGCCTGGCATTTACTTCAAAGAGTTCAATTTTAGGCTTTTCAGATCAGAGAATTTTGTTTTTTATAAAAATATCATATAGTAGTATATATCTTATATAGGTTTGGCTTCT